CCTTTACAGCTATTATTTATTGAATTTATTATATACCCACCCATCTCATCTTATTGTAGGTGGCTTGCAACAAAATAAAATACATAATGGGGGGCAGGGGGAGGGAAGAAAATAAATGCTAAAACATTATCCCCACAACCTTCACAATGAGAAGGTTTTCTTATGTCCACATCTTGAACTGGAACATGTTATCAAATTTCTTGTAAAAGAAGCTACCCAACTACAGTATATAACAGATTCTTATTCTATTTAAGATTTATACAGTAAATAGGAAGAGCCTAATGCTGGGAAAGATTGAGGGCAATAGAAGAAGGGGACGACAGAGAATGAGATGGCTGGATAGAGTCACTGAAGCAGTAGGTGTGAATTTAAATGGACTCCAGAAAATGGTAGAGGACAGGAAGACCTGGAGGAACGTTGTCCATGGGGTCGCGATGGGTCGGACACGACTTCGCAATTAATAACAACAACAGTAAATAGTGCTAAACATAAGCATTGTCATGAAAATCCAGATGGCCCCAGTCCTACTGTTCTTTTATAAAGTTCTGAAGACCTAACTGTTTCTCCAGATGTTTGGGTCAGGATGTTAGGCTAGTCCTGGTGTGGCTGATGTGTTTTTATGACTGGAAAGTGTCACTTACCTGGGTGCTATGGGTTATTTATTTATTACATTTATTGGACGCCCATCTTATCACAGTGCAGCTCAATTATTGTTTTAATTCTTGGATTTTAATCTTTGTACACAACTCAGAGTCACTGTTGTGAGGCTGCCAGCCATATAAATTATTTATTTAAATAAATACATAAATAAATAAAGTGATGTAATCTGACAGGATACTCTCTTTTCTCTATCTCCACCCATTTCTTAGTATTTTTTTTCTTAAATTTAACAAAGTGCCCTTAGACCACAGGTCGGCAACCTGCGGCTCCGGAGCCGCATGCGGCTCTTTGAGCCTTCCCCTGCGGCTCCCAGCCTCTTCTGCCTTTGCAGAGAGAGACAGAGACAGGAATTGCGCTTCCCTGCTTTTCTCTCTCTCTCTCTCTCTCTCTCTCTCTGTGTGTGTGTGGTTTTTGTGTGTGTGTGTGTGTGTGTGTGTATAAAAAAGAGAGTGCATTCACAGTGTTCTCCGAGGAGCTGAAAAACTTACTGGGCGGAGCTCCTCCCTTTGCTGCGTCTCTGCAGGAAGCAGGAAGGGCAGGAGAGAGCTAGCTAGCCCAGCTAGGGTGACTCAGGCATTCTGGGAGTTGAAGTCCATGAGTCATAAAAGAGACGAGGTTGCCTACCCCTGATCTTGTTGGACAACAGCCTGAAGCTTGTCAGGTGAGCAGCAGATAGGAGAGAGAGAGAGAGAGAGAGAGAGAGAGAGAGAGAGAGAGAGAGAGAGCGGGGGAAGAGAAGTGGCAGACCAAGGGCAGATAGAGAGGGAGAGAGAGAGAGAGAGACCCTTTTGACATCTAAAATGAAGATAACACTGCATATATCCTTTTTTTACCTGTGTGTGTGTGTGTATATACATACATACATACATATACATAAATATATATACACACACACACACATACACACACACAAACACACACACACCTATAATAAAGGTAAAAAAGGATATATGCAGTGTTATCTTCATTTTAGATATCAAAATGGTTTTGCGGCTCCCAGTGTTTTGTTTTTGATGGGAAACGGGTCCAAGTGGCTCTTTAAGTGTTTTGGGTTGCCTACCCCTGCCTTAGACCATCCTAGCTTCACCTTTATCTGCTCCATCCACAGAACCAAGCTGTTATATTCCAATGGCTAATATTTGTGCCCGCTCTTTTCTTGACACAGGTTCTGGAAGAAACCAGATATATTCTACAACCAGATCGGCACTTAGTTGATACTACTAAAAACAGAAGTTTTGAGTTTATTTTTTGTTTCTGTTTGCTGAACAAACCTAACAATAGCCTCCTATTATTTTTCAGATAACAATTTGAGAAGCATATTTACATTATACATTTTAAATGCCGGCAGCAAAAAATGCAGTCATTGTGCTACATTTCTAAGCATTAGCAGTCCCTCGTTTCAATAAAAATTATGATTAAAAACACAATGAATAGATATAATTAAATACTGATTTAAAATAATGACAAAATTACAATGACGTTTGACAATCCATGCTTTTATGATTGTGATTCAAGTGAAATATTACCGTGAAGATTATGCTACAGGTTAATTAACCAATTTCTTGGCATAAATGTATAATCCTTTATAAAATGTCCTAACTTAGAAAAATAAGGAGGCAAGAGCAGTAGAACTTCAGCAAAGCAGTTAAAAGTGTGATCGATTTAAGGATTTAGTATTAAGCATTTTGTCACATTTATACTAGACGACTCTTCCAAAATCCGGGTCCCCAGATATCTCACTGGACTACAATTTCCATTATGCTTACTCAGCATGGCTATAGATCAGGGATTTCATAATCTAATTTCTGTGGAGACAAGATTGTCTTATCAGCCTTTTCCAGGCTAAAATAATCCCCAGCAGTGTGGCAGCATTTAAAGAACTCCAAGACTTGCCAATCAAAACAGTGAAACACAGGCAGAAGAATATAGTTGTGCAGTTTTTAATATTCATTGCTGAGGGTGACCAGATTAACTAAAAGTTTTATTTTCAATATTGTTTCAGTGTACCTGTTAGATGTGTTTTCCTCAAGAAAAAATATACAATGACTAGAGGCACAGAAATGTAGCCCTATTGCATATTTTGATTTTTTTAACATTTTATTTCCCATTGGTTGAACAACATGAGCAGTTTGCCATTTTTGAAGAAATGGAACTGTTTAAGACTGAATTTTCTTGAGCCTAGTTCAAGCGTCAAATATAAAATTTAAAGCTGCATAATGAGCTTTCCTTCAGCTAGAGCCCAGGATAAATTTAAGCACCATTTTTCACATTGACATGTGGCCTGTTTGGTGTCACCTTAGCATGTTGTATGAATCCAACCACTGTTGGACACTTGGCAAACTTTACTTCTCATGGGTGGATTAAATCAGTGGTTCTTAACCTTTTTGAACAAATCGCCCCCTTGAGCCAATGAAGAAGTTGTCATCGCTCCTCTCCCCCAACATAACCTCTCAATCACAAGATAGGAAATAATTCTTCAATTTATGCAAACACTTTTTTTGTTTTCTTTAAAATTGTCATCAGGACATATCGATGCAAATAGTTTATTTCCAGTCTTTTTCCCATATCTCAACTGTGTGAAAAATTTTGGTGCCACCCGGCACTTTATTCCCAAACTTCGTGAAACATGTATTTCATTATTATCTTATTTATTCAAGACATTTAAATGTAATGACCACTGAAAACAAAATTCAATTGCAAGAAAGTGAAATGCCCGAAAAGAAAAACAGTAACATTTAATGATAGAATTACAAGTGAAATTTAAGACACAAAAAGAAATATAAAAAGGGCATAAGAACAAACCGCAATGCAGGAACTAAGAATTTCAAGACGAAAACTCTGAAACTAAATTAAGATATGAGGAAAGTATATATAGTCACGCACACTATAAAAAAGATTAAAAAGACACAAAGAAAATATAACATGAAACTGGAGTGCACGCTAAAAAAGTACAATACAGAGAGACACACAACAAAAATTTGAAAACGAAGCTGAAAACTCAAACTGTGATGTCAACATTACAGCTGATGTCACAGGGGACAGCCACTCAGCATGCGATGTTTCGAAAGAAGCGCTCCCCCCTCCAGCACTACCCATTCTGGCCAATGGTGCACCACTATATGGGTAGAGGCTGCTGAGCAACGCGCATAAAGATAAACGATGCGTATTCACATATGTACGGTGTTCTGTACTGAAGCTAGCTGGAGGATCATTTGAAAACACAATTCAATCCACTAATAGCGAGCTATCTGACGTTTTTGTATGACATATATACAGCGATTCACTGTACGAAAAAGTCTCAAGAGTGTCCCCAAAACGTCTCCCTCCATCGCCTCCATATCACCCCCTTTTTGTTCCTTCACCCTCACATTGCCCCTTTTCGTTCCATTGCCCCCCTGAAAAATGAAATCGCCCCCTGGGAGGCAATATCACCCAGGTTAAGGCCCACTGGATTAAATAATGGCTTGATAGGTGAGAATCCAACTTCCTTTAAATTGTTAAATAAGCTAAACTGCTAAAGTGTTCTATTATTCGACTGTTCATGTCAAAGAAAAACTTCTGTTGGATATAATATCCTTCCCTCAAAGTAAATAGAAGACAGGGACAAACTAACCTTTGGGGCTGTCATAGTTATCATAACATGATAGTTATCTCAGTAACTCAGTAATATATATCAGTTGAGAAACCGTGATTAATGCAACCACAGTAAAGTTATCTGTGATTACCTTAATCACAGTTTTTCAACTGATCTACATTGCTGAGTTCAAAGGAAACATTAAAGTAAGTGTTTCTCAATTTTGGCAACTCTTAAGATGTACGGACTTCAACTCCCAGAATTCCCCAATCGGTATGCTGATTTTTGGATTCTGGGAATTGAAGTCCACATTCTTTGATGGGTTGCCAAAGTTGAGAAATATTGCATTAACCCATCAAAGAACGGGCACCAAGCACTCGTCCAAAACTCACCTGTCCGAAGCTCGCTGTGAACCCAGCCTTGCTATCACCCGAAAAACTGGGCTATTAAAGAAATCTGCTGCTTTGAAGCAGCAACACTAGATGAGATCCCATTTTTTTTTAACAGCAGTGGGAACAACAGAGAAAGGGACCTCGGAGTTTTAGAAAAGCCCATTCGTCTCAGTAGGCAAGTATATAGCAACGCGTGTTAAAACAGATTTCGGATGTGTGAAAGCAAAGCGAAAGGGCTACTCAAAGGCGCAAAATCAAATCACGCGCGTTTCCCGCCGCTCGGAAGTGTCGCCTCGCGATACGCCTCCCGCGCCAGCCCGCCCGCCCACTTTCCGCTCTTAATACCAAGGCTTGGTGTTTGGTCCCCTAGGGCTTCCGTAAGGAAAGAGGAAGGGCAGTGTGGCTCCCTCTCGTTCTTCAACGTGGGCTCTGGGCACCGACTGATTTCCTTGCCATGTTGGGTCTCCGCGTGGCCTCCTTTCTTGGCCGCCTTCTCAGAAGAGCAGCAGCGGCACAGCCTTTCCGCGCCCAGGTAAATCCCCTGGGAAACCCACCTGTCCTTTTCTGCCCGCCTGCGGATCGTTAGGAGCCTGCTCGACCTTGTTATACATGTTTTCCATATGGGACCTGCTATTCCAGACTGGCCTAGAGAAAGAGGTCTGCGGGCGGGATCGCACCTCCTCCTCACCCCACACCCGCCCCATACACCCGCCACTGTCAGTGATGGACAGTGATTGATATTTAGATGCATTTATACATAAGGGTGATATGTATGTATATAGCATGTCAATATGCATGTTAGGTATGTGTACACTTTTCAGAGCAGGCAACAATTTCAGTTTTAATGTGAGCCAGTGTGCCCACATTTAAAAAAAAAAAGTGACGGTAAAGGTTATCTATCTCTCCCCCTCTGTTGCTAAGATGCCGGCACACAAGGCCCGCGATGCAGCCTTTAAAACAGACCGGGATTTATTGCGATTTCAGTTAAGACCCTCTTGGAAGATAAAGCTGCAACTCTTGTGTTTCGCTTTCGCCGAGACGGGTTGCGTGCATTTAGTGAGCAAAGTTACAAGAGCACTGAAAAAAGTGATGTAAGACCATTTTTCACATTTATGACCATTGCAGCATCCCCATTTTCATGTGATCAAAATTCAGATGCTTGGCAACTGACTCAAATTTATGACAGTTGCAGTGTAATCATCTTTTGCAACCTTCTGACAAGCAAAGTTAATGGGGAAGCCAGCTTCACCTAACAATCGTGTTACTAATTTAATAGCTGCAGTGATTCACTTAACAACATTGGCAAGAAAGGTCATAAAATGAGGAAACTCACTTAACTACTGTCTCACTTAGCAACACAAATTGTGATCGTAAGCCAAGGACTACCTGTATAGTATAGTATTTGATATAATATGGCTCCATACGACCATGCCCCCTTGATTCTTTCCTTTCTGCCTTCCTCTATTTACATACCTACATAAGGGGTCTATCTGCCTCCAGGATGTCACTAAGATTCAAACTCACTTGAAAGGAGATTTTAATTTTATAATGTGCTTCCATTTCTGAAGCTCAAATATCATTTCATTTCATTTGTCCCAAGTCTGAAATATTCAGTTGATCAGGAGTATTTTCCAAATATTCATGTCTTAGACTGAGCATTCATCAATAAATTTACTCTGAATGTATTAACAGTTTAAATGTTTTTTTTTAAAGAACAGTGTGAGTTTGGCACTATGAAAAAAGCCAAACCACATTTCTGTGTTGTTGCCAAGAAAACAAATGGGCATATCATAGAATCATCAGAAATCGAGCTCACTTTGACAGAAACAGTGGCAAAAGAACTGTTTGCTGATTGAAAGATAATTGGGAAATGAACTCTTAAGAATGTATAAGTAGAAGCTGACAGAATATAAAGGGATTCATTTCTCTGAAGGGTTCTCTGCTTTTAAGAGTTGTGTAACAAATCAAACATGTATGCTTCTCCCATCAATACTTTTGCACGTTAAGTAAGCCTATGTGAATGTTAAAGGGACAGGGTCCCTTTAAGAGAGAAAAACAAAATATGGAAACTCTGGAAGAAGTAAATTATCATCAACAAATTATCAGTATAAATCTGATACCATTTTCACTTCTTCACTTGATGGCCCATTTTTACTGAATCAGTTTTTCTCCAGAGAGTGGAGAAAATGATACTGTTTCTCCCCATGGTATAAAAAAGCATCATTTGATGACTTTTCTCTCTACCACAAATGGGCAAGTTTTAGTAGTACATTTCTAACATAATTTTCTTCAGAGGATTTTACCAGTCCTAGACAATTTCAGATAAAAATATCATTGTCATTAGTAGCCTTGGAGGTTTGGTACAACAAGAAATTTGCATAGCAAATGCATTTTTCAATAGCACGTCAGTATGTTTTGTGCTTATGCTATGTTGAAAAAACGAATTCCTCCTATATGTTGTATGCGTAGGGAGGTCTAACTGCATCAATTTTAACTTTTGCTGCAAGAGACCTTAATGCCAATGTCTAAATTTTGTTTAGGATTATGAGTATTTTTTTACTTTGTAATTTACTATTAATCTCTAGTGATTTATCCTTACAAATAACATTTTTACTGACTGAACATTTTTATTGACATGACATGGCGGAAGTTAAAGCTGAGCTGCGCCAATGGTTCAGTGGTTTTTTAAAAAAACATGCTGGATCAAAATAAAATAAATCTCTGCAACATCAGATTTTGACTTTCATAATATGGAAGAGATGTAGGAGAAAATGGAATGATTTTTGATTGAAGTGAGATTTCAAATATATGTGTGTATTAATTTTTAGGCATCTTTGAAGAAATGCTACCCAAGAAAAATGCAGCGCTTCTGTCTGGGGCTTGAAAGTTACGGCTTGGAAAGCATGTTATGAACTAACGCCAGAGATGAGCAGTGGTGCGTGATGCTATGAAAAATGCACTGTCGGTTCCTAAATGAAACAGATCATGATATTTTACCATGGACTGCTTACATGCACATCTTTTGCTGTGCTTCTACTCATTGATTAGCATGGTAGTTTCTAAATTGTGTTAGAAATCTTGCATTTCCTTGGAAGATATCAGTGCTTTTCCCGTTGAAAAATTAGTAAAGGTAGAAAACATTCCTGAAAGACAGTGTCACAAATGTCAATATTCTCTGCCCTGTATAGCCAGAATATTGTTATTTATTATTTATTCAGGCTTCTATGCCACTTCAGTCCAAAGAATATTGGACGTATGCATATTTTATAAAATCAAATCAAATGTAGATTCTCGTGTAAATTGATGTAGAAAGAATTTCTGTTTATAGGATACGTGAAATGTATTGATTTTGTTGTTGATAATTGTCTAACTTCATAAAATGTTAAATTGTAATATAGTTTGATTTGGGTTTACCAAACTATTATAGTCTGCAATCCATAGTTTATGGATACCATAATGTACAGTATATAATGGCATCATGGAACATCATGACAAGGAGATAGTGCTGTGAATCACATTAACTCTGCACATATAACATAGCTGAGTAATTCTCAGCCAGTCACTCAGTTACTTAGCCGAGACAAAATGTGTTTTACTTAGCAAGCTTTGTGTTGCAAGGCAGTCTTGAGTTTCAGGGTAAAGTGACCATGGTCTAGACAAGAGAATTCTTAAGAAAATGTCAGCCATAGTTGCTGGCAAAACAGCAGGAAATCTGTTGTCTAGAGAGACCACTGTCACTCAACCCTGAAGCTCAGTGTTGGTCAACTCCAGTATATTTGTGTTATAAATTTCTTCCTATGCATGCTCTGAAAAAAATTACTTAGCGAGCTTTGTGAATTACAGCATGGTGTATAGGTTACTCTTGAGCAGTGTTGCAACCAGCTTGCTGGCTGGGGAATTCTGGGAATTAAAGTCTACATATCTTCAAGTTGCCAAGGTTGAGAAATACTGCCTTTAATATGTACTTGGTGTAACAATTCAGAGAAAAAGGACAGCATGGTTTCTCTAATTTGATCCCTGTTTCCAGATGCTGCACACTAGAAACAATGTTTCCCATAAAAATAATGATCAGAGGGTTAATTATATGGATTCCCAAGTTATTGACAAGATATGTCACCAGACCATCCCCAGATGTTTTTTTACTAGGATCCCTTTCCTAAAAAATCTCTGGCCAGGATTAACTGATTTGGAACTAAATCACTGATAAGATGTGCTACCAAGGTTTCATCAGGTGCTATTGTGTATACTCACTGTCCTTTCTATATAAAAAAGTAGCAAAAGATCCCACCAAGTTTGAACCTCATCAAAATCTAAAAGTCCTAAGAGAGTATACAGTGCAACTCCTGGTCCATCTGCTGCCATTTCTGGCAAGTTGAAGAGATGTGGATTGGCATACATTTTTCTTTGGAATACTCTTAATACTTTTGGCATTTCACCCTCGTTTTAGCTTATTTCTCTGAATTCTAATTAGTTCCTGGCTAGGGCCATTGAGGTTGCAACATAATGTGTGAACCCAGGCAATTGGTTTATTCAATAAACCGTGTAAGGACTAATCATGTGAACTAATTCAGTATATGTTCATGAATAAACACTTTCTTAACATGATTCAGTTTGATTCAGAATCTGGTTGATAAAAAGATTTGCTTTTATTAAAAATGAAAATTGCTCCATTTCATAGGTACATCTTAATTATTTCAATATTTTTTCTAGATAAATGTTTACAATAATAACTTACATTAGAGTCACTTTATGCGTGATAAGTTACTTCCATTAGGACTTGGAAAATACAAACCCTCTGCATATTGTTTCTGATTCTGAGCTCATTGATGTGTGCCTGCCATTTTCTGTATGTATCTTAAGGCTTGAAAAAAAAATTATTTGGAAAGAGTGTGTCAGATGTTGGACAGCAGCATCACCTGTCTGCCCTTTGTCAAACCAGCCTGATTTTTTTCAAGTCTTCCTGTGAGCTGAAAAAAAAAATGCAAATGCGTTGAGAATTCCTTTGAAGATTCTTAATACGTTTTTAAAAGCTGCTTTGGAGATTTCAAGCTTTAAAACATTCCTTAAAGCATCAGCATTTTCTTTTCCAGATTTAGACATAAGCTTGAAAAAATAGGTTACTCTAATGAAAGATGTGATACTTGAACAGAGTCCGAAACACTTTCTACTTTTGGAAGTGTATGATACTTTGTGAATACATTTGTATAAGAAAGTCCGGATCTAAAAATGTCTTCTTCTCTGGCAACAATTGAAGGTACTATTGTAATTCACAGATCAAAGTTTCCTTAGACATCATCACTTCTTCCGTATCTTTTTATGAGCTCTTGTGTACTACTGAAAATGTTTGTCATAATGCCACCTGCACTTCAGGTTCAGGAAGCAGTTGCTTAACCAGACTTTTAATTACAGAAACCCCCCTTGTGAGCTTCCAGAGCATTTTTTTCATGCATAACACCTCCTCCTTTATAATGGATTTTGGGAGTCTAGGAAGATACAGATCATTAACTGAATGAACTCTTTCTCAGTTTTTCTTTTTTCTTACTTCCTCTCTATCTTGGATTTTTCTACACGTCTTCAAGATGAATGGCATAATACAGTAAGTGCTAAAGCACTGAAACTTGCATTTGATCCCAATGAATTACAGGTAGTCCTCAACTTACAGTGGCACTGAAAAAAGTGACTGTTTTTCACACTTACAAGCGTTGCAGCATCCCCACAGTAATATGATCAAAATTCAAAATGGAGCTGACTCATATTTATGACAGTTGAGGTCATGTAATCAGCTTTTGCGACCATCTGGCAAGCAAAGTCAATAGGGAAGCCAGATTCAATTAACAACCGTATTACTAACTTAAGAACTGCAGTGATTCATTTAACAACTGCGGCAAGAAAGGCTGTAATATGAGGCAAAACTCACTTAACAAATGTCTCACTTAGCAACATAAATTTTGGGCTCAACTGTGGTTGTAAGTCGAGGACTACCTATATTGTTAAAATGCAAAACTTATAACATGAATGAAGCTTTAACATGTTAGTTGCTAAAATTCCCAGGTAGTATCTTATTGATCAAATTATATATTCCATGATTGCAAATCCAGAAACTGTCATTTCCACCTAATTTTTTTATGCTTTTGTCTCTTTAAAGCCAAACGTGTTTCAAGCTTGTTCATCTTTTGCTACGGGACCCAGACAGGAAGTTGGCACTATCTATGAACTTTGTACTTACGACATTAAGCCAGCAAAGGCAAAGGAGTTCCTTGAATTGGTCAATAAATCTATTAAGATTCGTATGGTTCACTCACAAATGATTGGATTCTGGACAGCTGAATTTGGAGCAATGAATAAAGCATTTCATATTTGGAAATATGGTAAGAATTGCATGGTATTGTTTCAAAGAGGTTGAATGTGCCTTTTAAAAGTTATTTCTGTGAAGTCTGTTACTAGGTTATATGGATACCATCTCAGGGTTACAAATAACAACATCCAAAAGAGATTCAGGACCTTTGGGGCTAATGAAGCCAGTTTAAAAGCACTACCGTATATGCCGGCGTATAAGGCGACTTCCGCAAGCGTTAAAATCGGCGCCGAAGTCGGGGGTTGTCTTATACGCCGAGTCGTCTTATACGTCAGAAATACTGGTAGTTTCCGGCGTATAAGACGACGTTCTAGGCATGCGACTCGGCACCAAAGACGGGGGTCGTCTTATACGCCGGGTCGCCTTATACGCCAGCATAAACTGGTATTTTGTTAACTAAGCAATAGAAAAAGGCCAGACTAACCATCCTGCTTGCCAAAGGACATCAGATTGCCTGCCAGTTAGAAAAGTTGGCAATGGACATTCCCATTCTTGCCTGGAGAATTCTGAAGCATCGGAGCTCACAATCTATAACTGCTTAAAGAAGGCCCTGGTCTTTCTCTTTCAACAGCTGGAGTCTCTGACATTTGCTGAAACCATTTGGAGCTTAATTCACAATTTTCCTAAGTAGTAGTATTATGCTTCAGTGCATGGCTCAGCAAAACATCATATGAAGTTCTCAAAGAGAAAATAGGAGCGGGCAGACTGCATATTCCAAGGCTGCATTTGAGAAAGTTCTGTTCTCTAGTAGCAATATTAAGTTAAAACTTCTTATAAAATATTAAGTTTATTTCTCTATAGTTTTGTACTTTTATCATGGAAGCAATTATGACATGGCTTTAGGAGTTCAGTCTTTTTTTTTTTTTTCCTCCCACAGATAATTTTGCACACAGAGCATCTGTAAGGAAGGCTGTAGTCAATGATAAAGAATGGCAGGAAAAACTGGCAACAATTCTTCCACTTCTGGATAAGCAGCATATGGAAATTGCTTACATGGCCCCCTGGTGTGAATTGGGAACACCACCAAAAGAAGGTCTGTTTTCTTGCTCCTTAACCTGTTGTACTGATTTTCAAAGCCGGTGAATTGAATTCCACAGAAATTTAGAAAGTGTTTGAGGAAATGGTCTAGGAAGATAGTAATATTGGTGGGTTTGGTATCACAGAGGTTTGCTAGAATTATGGAGTGCAACTGATTAAAATATTCATTAGTTTCTTATTGAGGAATAAGAGGACGAGCCAAGATGACAACACACTAGCAGCTTCTGAAATAACCTCCTGCCTTGCAACAGTCTTTGTCACATCCGGTTTAACTTGATACCCCCCAAATGGCTTCCAAAGATAAGAAAAGAACCCAGACCACACCTAGTTATGTTATTGGAATCCATAAATCTTAACTGAGGTAATAAGTTTCAGCTCCCTTCCTTTTTCACTTACTGTTTTTTTACCCTGGCTCTAACCAGCCTGTAAAGATACATATATGCCCCAAAAAAAACCCCACAGGCTAGTGGGAGAAACAAAATTGGGAATTGCCATATTTCTGCAACTTTCCATAGCTATGGACTGAAACCAAACAATACTTCAAAATATTCATTCTTTTAATCTCATTTTAAAAGGTATCGTATTTTTCTAGTCCTTATTTATATTTGTGTATGTATGTGTGTGAGAGAAATTACTATGTCTACTGCTGTCTCTTAAAATGATTTCGTATATTGGTAAAATGGGGTTTTTTAAGTGGTCAAATTATATTTAAATCTCTTCTGTTTGAGACAGGCATGGAATCTGTGGACTGATGGGCATACCTAAACAAATGTAATTCTGAATTATGGACCAAAAGTAAATTTAAACCCAAGCTTGCGTAGATTTAAAGCAAAAAGTAAAATGAAATTGAATTTAGATCAGTGGTGAAAATATAAAAATAATATACTGTAAAAAATGAGTTGCTTGTTTTTATCCCACTACCTATAATAACCTGAAAATGACATTTTCTTACAGGGGTTTATGAGTTGGTGACTTATCAGCTGAAACCAGGTGGACCAGCTTTATGGGGAAATTCATTCAAAGCAGCTATTGATGCACATGTTAGTAAAGGCTATGCAAAACTGATTGGCTTTTTCCACACAGAATATGGATTTCTTAATACAGGTACAGGCTCATATTTTTCATATTTCCAATAAAAAAATCATGCCCTAATATATATTTTTAACATTCCTACGATCCATAACTTCATATGTGCTCAGTTAACATCTGTTACTATAGGACAGGAACAAGACGGAAAGGGGTCAGGTGGGTCCAGATTTAGTCATACTTAAAAGATGAGACTCCTAGGATCAGAGCCTTGATGAGGCGAAGAGACTTCTGTGGGTAAATGAAATTGTGGGCTATGTCTTTAGACATGTATATGTCCAGAAGAGTCTCCCAAGGCAAATAGGCTATGATGGATACCCCAGACTAACACCAATCACATCTGCCAACCCACATTGAACCAGCGTGGCAGATTATGGTCTATTTCTTGCACATGCTAATACACTCGTATTGGTTGGAAACATGTGGAAGAGGCCTTCATCCTGCAGTGGATAGATAATGGCTAAAATGATGAAAAGATAAGACCTTTTGAAAGTTATTTTTGTTTTGCCCTTCAAACAAGTTATGTTCATAGCAAATGGCTATGCATCCACATTTCTAACATCCTAAGAGTATTATCTAAATATTTGGAGAAAAATATTTAGGACAGTTGCCTTACAATGAGCCAGACTGTTGCTTCATCTATTTCATATCTATGCTAATTGGCAATAGCTTTCTGAAGTTTTGGAAAACATTTACCCATTTTTTATTTGAGGGGGGGAAATGCTAGGACTACAGCTGAAATTTTAATACGCAGAACATGAAATACAGTAATTTAACTTTAGAGCAGGAGTGTCCATCTTTGCAACTTTACGACCTGTGAACGTCAGCTCCCAGAATTCTCCAGTCAGCCATGCTGACAGGGGAATTCTGGGAGTTAAAGTCCTTAAGTCTTAAAAGTTGCCAAGGTTGGACATTCCCCCTCTAGAGCAATACCATGCCTCTGTATCATAACTGATATACTTAATTTTCCTTACTCACCTCTATGACTAGCTGTGTCTTTTACAGAATTGTACAGAGAAGGTCTTAGAGGCAGAAAATTGTTTGTAGACATTGGAATTTGAATGTCATAATTTGTCCTATAGATTTGTATGTACACCCTGTGCTAGTACTGTGTTCTTGCTTTACTTTCACAGTTTATGTACTTTGGTGGTTTGAGAATCCAGATATCCGGGCAACTGGAAGGCATATGGCCCATGAAGATGCCAGAGTGGTAGCAGCTGGTAAGATATTACTGTGTATCTTGGAATGCCTATCACTGCTTTTTTATAAGTTTGAGAGAGTGTATTTTAATTCTTATTTTCAGTTCGGGAGAATGTTCAGTTCTTGGAAACCCAGCAAAACATGCTCCTGATTCCTGCATCATTTTCACCTCTAAAGTAGCTTTATTCCAGTTGAACGACAGTACATAAAAATTATTTTCTGCAACCCTCATCTGGCATTTTTTATCTACAAAGACAGATTGGGGGTAGTTTTGAATAACAGTCATTATTTGTGGAAACTCATGTTATCCGTCTCAAATAGATACTTTTCTAATCATCTGCATAAAAATAGATTCAATTTCTATTGGTAAATAATGACTTAGTACAGAATATCAGCACTTAAATGTTTAGAGCTCAGAATAAAAAAACGGGGGATATGTCTGAATTAATATTTTCCTTCTGGTATTACACTTATAGTTAAATATCTTAACTTACAAATGAAGCTAAAAACAAACTAATTATAAAATATAATAACCTAAAACTGCTCGTATGAGTAATAAAAAGTTGATGTCACAATGTTATTTAATCAAGAAATTCTCATGATTAATGTATAGATTGCAGTGAGATCAAGAGAAGGAAATCTCACTTATTACAGCTGAAATGTATTTATTTATTCTTGTATATTTGGTGATGGATCTGAACTTTTTATGGTATTCATTACTGCACTATGATTGAGATTGTTAAATGCAAAATTAAATAGATTTTCTGGATTGTGTGTATGCAATTCTGTCATTTCCTATTCTGCCCCTTAGCAGTTCCACTCATTCTGCCTATGTTACATAACTCTGCAGGCATCTTAAGTGGCAGATTGTAGATTCTATATGCCATCTTTACAATCTAAAGGATATGATGTTATTCAATCTAAAAAAAAATCATGAACACATTGCAGAATTTTGAAATATTGTATATTTTCACTGAATATTTTACATTCGTTTTTTAAAAGTTTCATACATCCCAGATCTAATTCTAATTCTTATATCTTTGGCTGAAAATTGAACTTGAGTTGATTCTTCTAGTCATTTTTAATATTATGTGTATTTTTCTGAGAATAAACATGAATGGCACTTTTATCTAAATTGATATGTCAGCCTAGACTACACACCTGCTTTACATATTAGAAATAACACTCCGTAAACTTGAGAAAGGGCTACTACAACTGAAGCCACTTCATTTTCATTCACCTTCCTCTTAATGTTTTAATTCAGTCTTTGATTCTGCAGTTCTAGAAGTTTGAAAACATAAAGCTAAGGCAGTGGTTCTCAACCTGTATGTCGGGACCCCATTTGGGGTCGAAAGACCATTTCACAGTGGTCGCCAAACCACGCTGTCCGCCATTTTTTTCCCTTTTCCCTTGCTGTCCTACTCCCTCTTATTGGTGGCCACACCCACTTGGGGGTCACCACAACATGGGGAACTGTATTATGGGGTCACGGCATTAGAAGGATTGAGAACCACTGAGCTAAGGCATGGAAAAATTGTGACTTTTAATTCTGCATCTAGTGTGCGCCTGGTTCTGTTCAGATGAGTTAGACAATTCCAATTCTTCCAAATTTGAAGTCCACCACATCTGAAGGACACCCAGTATGAAAAGGCTGCCAGACGGACCAAAACAAAGCATGTCACCCATTTGTTTCATTTTGCCTTAGCCTGAATGTGTAAACACAGGTCGATTTACTATGTGCTGCTGTACACTGGAACCTGCTGGCACTGGAAATGTGGATTCACTTTTTCATGATTTGATCTTTATATCGTGAAGTCTGGGCCATACAGTGTATAGCTTAATCCCCTCCACGCAATAGTAAAATTCCACTTTTCAGTTCATTAATAGAGAGCCGGCAATACAGTACGGTATTCACAAAATAGGCATTTCTACCACTCTTTGTGATAGTCCTACCGGAAGCTCCGGGGAAAGGTTTTAGTTGAGGATTTATACGGTATAATAAATAATGCTGGAACTAATAATTCTGGAACAGAGAAACGAGAAATCCAATTAAAAACGCCCCCTCCCCCTTGCGTAATATTTAATTCCCTTTGCAAAACAACCCTTCACACACGCTCAAGCATGACCCCTGGAGTTTCGCGGGGAAACGTTTGAACTAAGTCCAAGAAACCCCAAGAGAGTGGCTGGATTACCATCTATCAGCTCCAGCAATCCTGGCCAAGGATCAAGGTTGGCGAGAGTTGCACTTTAACCATATCTTCAGCTACGAAGTAGGACTTCCGCGTCCCGGAGAGCTTTTTGTCTTCCGCATTCCCCCCCCCCACACACACACACATATAACACGTCGTGGTGGAAAGGGGATGGGAAGAGGCGGCGCGGCCCTTCCACGCTTGATGAGGAGGCGGCCACGAGGTTCTCGTCGGCCAATGCTTTGCCTCGATGCGGTTGCGGCGGGCGGGTCAGATGGCAGTAGGAAGTGCAGTTTGCCGCCCTTAAGCTTGGCTACGTGCTTTGGCTGTTGCTGTTGCAGCGCTGCTGTCTTTGCGGCGCCCGGGCAATTATTAGACCATGCAGGGTCCCCGGGCAGTGCTCAGAGGAGTCGGGGCAGCGGCGCGAGCGGTCAGTGCCCAGGTAAAAGGAGGGAACGAAGGAAGGCGCTGGGGTGGAGGACAGAAGCAGGGGACGAGCGCCGTCGCCTTCGTAGTTCCTGTGTGCAGCGCAGAACTAGTGGGCAGGCAGACGTCCAACAGGTGGGGCCGTCCCTGCAAGAGATGCTCAGCATGGCGGCGTCGGCGGCGTCTTCCGTTTAACCTTTGCCACTTGCTGTTAACGACGGAGAAAAGGAGCGGTGAGGAGAAGACCAAGAGCCGAGGAAGCTAGGAGAAAAAAGTCGGCTGGCAGGAAATTTCTATTGGATGCAAAAGGACTTGAAAACCCCTAAGCAGATCTGGATTTGAGTTTGGGTTGGACAAAAGTCTTTGAAGAAAGTATGCGGATCAAGCCTTCTCTGGCTCGCCTTGCCTTTTCTAGCGTTTGGACAAAATGTTGGCAGCTAAGGAAACAAAAGGCCACAGGATAAAGAGTACTTTCCCACAAACTCTAAAATTAGAAGCAGGACACGCATCCCCTTCCTATTCTCCTTTGTTGCCTGTCCATGGATATTGTCATTTATTCTACCATCTTCCTCTTGATTCATTCTAAACCACCATCTCCCATGTACTCCTACAGGTTTGGGCTGATGGTTAGAAGACCACTGTTTAAATGAACAAAGTGATGGGACAACTATAGAGACTCCTTCCATGTGTTTAGAGTAGGCAGATGCTGATCAGAGGATGGGAATCTTCTCCCTGTGCAAGACAGCTACCCTTGCTAAATCCACTTTCTCTGTAAAACTATTAAGTATGGAGCCTTAAATGTTCTTTAACATTTGCTGTGTTGATATCAAAAGAATCCTTATTTGTGAAGGAATGAGTACTAATGCACACTAGATGACATTTGATTTTTTTTTTATCTGCCTATTGCTTTATAAGTAATTCAAGGCAGCAAACATACATCATACTCCTTCCTCCTCTTATTTTTACTACAACAATAACCTTGTGAGGTAGGTTGCAGTGAAAGAATTAGCTAGCTGGCTTTCATGCCTAAAGCAGAACTAGTGTTCATAGTCTCCTGGTTTCTAGGCCAGCACCTTAACTACTACACTAAACAGACATTTCTGTTGTAGAACCAATGTAGGGCTGATCTAGCTGTAAATGTATGCATTCAAACTCCCACACTGATTTGTTTTTATGTCTTAAAAAAATAAAATGTTCCACATGCATTTCCCCCTCCTGCTTCTGCAGCTTATATTCTAGTATTTTGTTCTGTTCCTCATTTGTGGATGTATCATTAATTACATTATAACTGCCTTTTGTACTTTTATCATCAAATAATCTGTTAACTAACAAAAAAGCCAAAGGCCATCCAGTAATTTTTGCAGATGTATGCAGATTTAAACTGATTTTTAAGCTCTCTGTATTCTAATCAGTTCAGCTCCGTAATCTTTATTAAATTTCCCTGGTTTTTCTGAACTTGGTTGAATAAAAATATATGCATTGTTCTAAAACTCCTTTTTTTATATAACTGGGGCATTTGGCTAACTTGACACAAAACATCTTTTTTCCAGAAGCGCCACATTTGATATGTAAAGTGAAATCTTGAATATTGACATTGTGGCTGTGATGAAACTACTGGATGAATAATTCATCATAGTTGAAGGCATGTTTTAATAGGAGGGCTACTCAATTTGTGCTGCAAAATCAAGATGACCACCAGATGGCAGCATACATGATACACATTTATCTCTTTTCTGCCACCTAGTGATTATTTCAAATGTTGCAGTCCAAATTCACTATCTCTTCTATTGCACCCTTGCTCCAAAGGCCCTATATCTCTCCTGTAATATTCAGTTGCCAGCAACTTTTGAGAAGGCAAAATACAGCAATGAAGCTAATGCGATGTGATTACAATGTTTTCATTTGTTAAAGAGCACTGAATATATACTCGAGGCTCAAAAGGAATTAGTGAATAATCTAACCCCCACTTTTGTAGTGTTATCTAGACACTGAAATTAATACCATATCACTCTCATTGTTTGCTTTTTCTATCTTCCGTTGGATCAGGTGGAGTAATCAGTGCTTTGCATTGAGTAATTCCTAGTGCAATACTACTAGTTTGAACAAAAACAAGGAATGTTTATTGCTCTGTAGATTTTATTTAATTGCAAAATAAATCAAGTTTAGTGACACCAGTGCCATGGCCTCTGGTGTTTGTATAGCAACAATGACTAAGATTAAAAAAGGCCAAAGTCCAGTTCTAAAATTCCAGGCTTGTACAAAGACCTATAAAAACACAGCTTGCTGAAATTATTGGCAGGGTTTGTAATTGTGCAAAGCTATGGTGGATCAACTACAGTGGCTATTTTTCGCCCAATGCCGTAACAAAAATGAAACGTATTGCATTTTGGCCTGGTGCAGTGTTTGAATCCAGGGCACATTTTTACAAAAACTGAATTTAGCAGTTTTATAGAGGGGTCAAAAATCAAAGCTGTCATTGGTAGCCAGAGAATAAGATGTTCTAAGAACATAATAATAAAAAAAACACCATAGACTCATTTAATTCAGCAATTTGTGCTACCCAATAGCCATTCAGATTCAGATAGCCAAGAATGTATAGTGGCACAAGAGTCTCTTCTCAGCTTCTGTTACTCAGTATCCTACTTGTATTCAGCATGTAACCATTAACACTACTCTCCATTGATGTTACTAAACCCTGTGAATGTTTGTTTCCTTTTAAACCATTTTGAGCCATTCATCGGTGACCATTGCCACATCTGATGACTGTGATTTTCATAGTTTAGCTGATTCTTTTATATTAAAAAATTGAATGTGCCTCAAGGTGGGAATTCTGGCCACTTTTGTTAGCATAATAATCCAGCTTTTCCTAGTCTTTCACCTCAAAATGGGTTTAATTTTAGATTCTCTACTTTGTGGCACCAAATTGCAGTAGTCTTTCTCTTACTTTTTCACATCACATTGCAAATGTGAAAGAAAAAGATATTGCAGGTTATTTGCATTCATTCATATTTATTTGAATAACTAATTCATTACTATTATCAACATTTATGTATGTTTCTTTTATTTATTTTCAGGCCTCATCTTTTGCTACAGGGCCACGACAGACCGATGGCACATTCTATGAGTTTCGTACTTACACAGTTAAGCCAAACAAGATGAAAGATTTTCTGGACCTCACCAGTAAAAACATTCACCTTCGCACACTTCATTCCCCAATGGTTGGATACTGGACTCTAGAATTTGGGGGACTGAATCAAGTTTTCCACATTTGGAAATATGGTACTGTATGCATAGTTTTACATTATTTATCAAATTTCTGTACTGCTCGTCACATTCCTGTGCCTCTGGATGGTTTATAAATAAAATGCTAAAAACGTATTAAAAGTCATAAATAATGCAAAGTTAGAAAACAGAATTACAGAGTTAAAAAGAACAATTGCAAAGTTAAAAGGCAGAGGGACGGACCATCTTCAACCCACCAACCACCCCCAGGGTTGCATGACATCTTAGACTCCCGTGTCCAGTGGTGGGATTCAGCCAGTTTCCACCACTTTGGCAGAACCGGTAGCTAATTTTTTGTTGCCCAGGCCCAGAATGGACTTCTGGAAGTGGCATCCACACAGAGAACCGGTTGTTCACATATTTGAATCCCACCGCTGCCCATGTCAGTGGGCAGAGCCAGGTGAGGGTGAACCTTTTGAAAGGCTAAGAGAGTGACTTGCCTTACCCTGGGAAGGAGGGAGGAGAAAGATGTTTCCGTAGTGTATTATAGTACTTATTGTGTAATGGATTAAGTAATAAGATTGGTATTCTGGCTTCCCATGGGATAGGGGATGTCTTCAGATTATTCAACTGATATGAAAAGATTCACTGCAGAAACTCCTGTACCGCCAGTGTAGTTTAAATAAGAAATCTTAGAAACTCTTAAGAAACCAAACAGCATCTCTCAAGAGCTAAAATTTCATTTAACAACTACCAGTTCCTGACTAGTTTTATTGCAGTCCAATAAAAAGTGGTTACTTCACAATTTAGTTGATTTAAAGTTGACAAAATACTTTTCTGTCAGAACGTGCATATACATTTGGAATCAGCATGGCTTCAAAATTATGGGGAATGCTATAAGACTCATTCAATTTTGTAAATAGCCTTCAAGCCCCGTCAGCCCCTTCCTTGTTGCAACTTTTGTATTCTCTTGAGTCTTTGGGCAGCACAGACTGCTCTCCTACAAACCAGAATAGTAAACTCCCAAACAAAGAACATGTCTCCTGTATTCTATTTTTAGTCTAAGAAATGGTATTGTTTGTGGTCTGAAAATAGAGTGGAAGATTATGCATTCATTAAAATTGTAAATCTAATTAACTAAGGAGTTACATTTTGATTAAGGGTGAGGAATTCGGGGGTACACTGTGAATTCTAAAAAGGGAAAATAATCTAGATGCTCAGATTAATGTCAGGTTCCTGACTGTTCCATTTCTGCAGAAAGCAGATTTCTTCCATATTTTCTATGGCAATATTTATTGAAATATATCTGGGACAGTGTTTCTCAACCTTGGAAAGTTTAAGCTGTGTAGACTTCGATTCCCAGAATTCCCCAGCCAGCCAGCTGACTAGGAAACTTTGGGAGTTGAAGTCCACACAGTTCCAAGATTGAGAAAAACTGGTCTAGGATAAGGTTACAGAGATTTCCGCAACTGGACTGAATTAAATATTTTTCTCAGATTTTAAGACGAAGACTTTTTCCATCTCTTATTCATGGTTCCCAGGTGAATTGGTGGAGGAACTGTTCTCTTAAATGATAAGGTAGGAATATCCAGCTGGTTAGAATGTGAATGGCTCCCTGGTTGTAAACATGGTGTTACAGTACTCTGCCTATAATATTCTAATTAGAATTTGAAATTAAAACTTGGGATCTTAAGTCCTTTATTAACTACTCTTTTGTTCAGTTCTTAGTGTGCTTGTTTGGCTCAACAGGTCACAATGCCCATCTTGGCCTTGTCTGGTCTGAGAAGCTAAGCAAGGGAGACCACTAGAGAATGCCAGGGTAGTGAGAAGTTAAAAAAAAAAACACAGAAGAAGCCAATGGCCAATACTCTGTTTCTGCTGCAAAGCAACAACAGCAGCAACAACAGCAGAGTCAACCTTGCCTGAAAGAAGATGCATATATTCATGGTAGATCTCACAAGGTCAAATACCCCAGCATTTTAATAGCCACAGTCAAACTGGTGAGATTGATTCAGAATATTTTTTTTTTAGAATTCAATCAGAAGCACAAGAATTTATCATAGGTCCATTTTGCTTTCTTGTTTGGCATGTTTTTATTAGATGTTAAGAAAAATATATAGAGAATCACAAAAGAGAGGCAAGAAGAACAGGTAAAAAAGTAAAATACATATGACCAAACAAGGGACATTAACAGGCCAAGGACATTATATGCTAATGTATCATTAGTTAGTTATAAATAATTGAATATATTATGTTCCTTTAAAAATTTTTTAAAAAAAAACAATGTTAGGCTCCAAGCAAGAATGAATGTAAAAAAAAAAACAAAAAAACAGGATAAATCTGTCATGGGAACATAGCAAATAATGGCTTTTATTCAATCTGAAAACTAAAAAAAAATGGCTGATTTTAGATGAACAAGAAGTAATAACTATGAAAGAGCAATATATTCTGAAAAACGTAAATGACATACTAGATGGCTAAATGCGGATGTCTAAGTTTACTATATCTTTCCTTGTTTGTAGAGAGCTTTGCACAAAGGGCTGCTGTCCGTACAGCATTAACCAAAGATCAGGAGTGGCAAGAAAAATACATCTCTTACATGCTGCCCTTGTTGGACAAACAAGAGAATGAGATTACTTACCTGGTCCCCTGGTGTGAACTTGGCAGCTCTGAAAAAGATGGTACACTGAACATTTACTTAATTGAGACACTGGGTATTTTGGCATTTTTAAATGTGTAGTCTGGCTGGTTTTTCTCGAGTGCAGTGCTGTCGTATAGTGGGTGAACTTTGTGCTTAAAGTCAATCACCCAGTGGCTGTTTAGTTATAGTAATTGTTTGTGGTTCCTTTTGAAAATGTAAACCTTTAGAAGCCCAGCTACTGAAGGTGTGTGCTTAGCACTGTCACTGTTAATTATTGTGCAGCTTAAAATATCATTTCAGTTCATGAAAGAAAAATATGCATTTGTGCCTCTGGCAAGTACAATGTATACATATAAGCACGCATTAAGAGTGCATTTTAAATCTCAGCAACTTTAATCTGTCTGGGGAATTCTGGGGATTGAAGTCCACACAGCTTGAAATTGTGGAGCAATCTATAGAGGTTCTCTGATGTTAAAATTCCTAAGTGGAAAAATGGGAAGTTGAACTCGAAAACTACCATTTCAGTTGAAAGAGAATAGCACTTATGATTTCCATGCATTTCTGCCAACAATATTAGTTTCTTGTTTAAATACATTTGATGTTTTCATAATTTTTCAATTGCCCTATTATAGCAAGGGATAGAAATTCATAAGTGAAAACTTCAAACATTCTCAGCACCGAATTACATTCTTGTACAAAATCTGTATTCATTTCCAAAATGTGCACGTAATATATATTGAGAAGACATTACACATTCTGAATCTTTTTCTTGCGGTGTTGCTGCTCCCCCACCCCCATTCCAGGAGTCTATGAGTTGGTTACCTTCCAAATGAAACCTGGTGGACCAGCAGTGTGGGGACAGTCCTTTAAAGCTGCAATTAAAGCCCACATAAATAGTGGATACACTAAGCTGATTGGTGTCTTCCATACTGAATATGGACTACTCAACCGAGGTATGATTGCTTATCAGATTTCAGTATGATATTGGGCTACCATTTTTTAGGTAAGAAGTAAGGAAACATAGCCTTCAATTCATGGCTGATCTTATCTGGGCTTGAAGCTAAGGAAAATTTAATGTGATTCATACTTGGGATGGGAGACTTGCCAGGGAATTCAGGGCTAAAGGTTAATGTGGAAAATTGAAAAATACCTTCAAAGAAGGCATAGTGTTGCCAAAAGGCCTGAATGTGTATGTTCAGAAAGCTGCCTGGAATCAGACTTGACTCAGAGGAAAAGATTATCTGTAAGGGAAATAAACTATAGGAAGTCCTTGTTTACTGACCACAGTTGGCACTGGCAATTCCATTGCTAATCGACGTTGTCATTCAACCAAAAATTGTATGACTGCGCTGGGATCAGGCTAATCAGGCTTTTGTAGAAGAATAATCACTTTCTTTGCGTCTTAAGAGAAATTCTGTTTTAGCCCATGCTTAGAACTTGAGCCCTGAGTGATTAAAATGGTTAGGAATTCAGACAGAACTTGCAGGTTCTCTTATTTGACAAGAATAATTGGACTGTTCATTGATTTATCACCATAACTAATAACTATGATTTAAACATTTAATTTAATAATTTAATCCATTCCAATTAATGGATTTAATTAATTTAATTTCATTAATTTGGTTCAGTAATTTAATTATTGGGTACATGAGAACCATGATAATTAATGCTGTTGTATATACAATGCTTATAGTCTGTGTGTTTGCCCTGACCTGGTATTCCATGGAGGTGTGAATTGAAAAGAATTCTTTGATATGCAGTATAAATGACTACTATCCATAGCAAGGGATAGGCATAGCTTTCCGAATGAAGATTATTCAGCAAAACATATTTTAATAAATGCATTGCCTATTTAATTCATATTTTTATTGAGTTGCAGTTTTCTGTCTCTGTAGTTCACGTGCTTTGGTGGAATGAGAGCCCAGATAGTCGGGCAGCTGGAAGACACTATGCCCATGAGGATCCTCGGTTAGTAGCAGCTGGTAAGTGAAAGATTTCTTGTCTTTTCCCTTTCCCTTTGGGATTCTTTCTTTGAAAAAAAAATTATATACCACTATTAACCTTTTAATTGCCTGTGTAATTTACTTTTAGTTCGAGAAAGCGTTCAATTCCTGAAATCACAGCAGAACAACCTCCTGCTTCCTACAGCGTTCTCACCATTAAAATAAATATAATGCGTAATGGACAGAGAATATTTTTCATTGCACTGTTAAGGACATCTAAGGGTTTTAATAGTCCAGCTATATTTTCCCCATTTATAAAATGTGATACAAACCTAGTCTCTCTTTCAATTATATGCCTATTTCCCTTGCTGGAAATGGGAAGCTTAATCTCCTGCCCAGTGAAATGAAAATTCAAGGTTTACTAAATTATGTTATGAAAAGGAACTTCCATAAATTCTTTGTATTAGGCTCCTTCCTTTTATAGTTATATACCTGTGAAAAAGACTCTGCAAAAGATGAAAATAGAGTCCTGAATATTTAAGAAAAGCATAATTTTTTAAAAAAAATTCTGAACTACTGTAGACATCATGAATAAGGATCTTTTCTAAATGGCCTTTACTGTCCCAAAGCATTATTGTCAGGGTTTTTTTTAATACACATTTTGCTTGTCCTAAACCTAAGTGCTACGTTACTCTGAAGTAACATATATCTGCCTACAATTCTATCATTGTCTTAACCATGGAATTTTAACATTTCTGTTTCTCTGCTTATCACTCTGGTAGAACTGAGCCAAAAAAGTATTTGCAGTGGAACTTCAGTTGAATGAAAAGTGTTCAGCAAATCATGAACTTAATCTTTTCTTTCATTTTAAAAAAATATTTTTTGTTATAAATAACATCCGGCTTTTCTTTCCTTTTCAAATTCAAGTAATTTTTTCCATGTATTCAGAGCCAGCTCTGGCATGTTCAAATGCAGAAACCGAATAAACTGATTTATTCTGAGAGAGTCACTCGCAGCGGCATATTATGTAGCATACACATTCTTATATTTTTGAACCAGTCATAAGATTGCAGTTCCTGAAATGTAATTGTTGGAATTGAAACATTAAAATGGTTTTTTGAAATGCATATATTTTGTGTTTCTATTTTAATAACGGCTGTTGCTTCCGATTTTAATCATGACACCCATATTAAAATGTTTTTTAAATGTAAGTCTAGGTCAGTGGTGGCGAACCTATGGCACGGGTGCCAGAGGCGGCACTCAGAGCCCTCTCTGTGGGCATGCGTGCTGTTGCCCCAGCCTTGCCTCGCCCCGTGACCCCCTCCTCACCAGCAGCCCCCCTGGAGGAGAGTGGTCCACGAGGAGCAACACAGCCAAGAACATGACAGCCAGGCAGCGTAGACAAGACTCTGCCCTCACGCCCCATCACACAGTTGATGCTGTGGGGTGTGGGCAGAGGGTGTGGTCGCCATGGCACTGCTGGGTTGCCTGGGCGATCTGCGGCGGGCCCTGGAGGCGGTGAGTGGCCCTGCGGGCAGGCGGGGTGGGGGCGGGGCAGGGATGGAGTGGGGGCGGGGCCAGGTTTTGGGCACTCGGTCTCTAAAAGGTTCGCCATCACTGGTCTAGGTCATTAACTTTTTTCAAGTTAGTTACCGGGGATATCAAATATTTTTGTAATCTGATTAGAATTCATTCCCTTCTAGCACAGCCCAGAAAACCAGTGTGATGTAGTGTTAAGGTGCTGTGCTAGGAAGGAGATCCAGGATCCAGTTTTCCCTTGGGGCACAGAAGTCAGCCGGATGGACTTGGCCATCCATGCTCTTTCATCCCTAATTAGGGACAGGCTCTGTAACAAGCCAGCTAGTAAGCAAAGCCCTTGTTGCATCATGCATGATAGCTTTGCCACGAGATCCAGGTGTGCACAGGAGAAAATAGGCACATCCTGCAGCCAAGTGTGACAGACATGATGAACAATTCTTTTTTCCAGCACAGCGCATGATACCCAGGATAGCTGTGAAAATCCACTTTTATACTACACAAAAATCCACTCATTGGGGCTGTGCAAAGCATTTAAAAGAAGTTCTTTGCCTAGCACAGGGGTAGGCAACCTTGGCTCTTTTATGACTCATGGACTTCAACTCCCAGAATTCCTAGTCAGCACAGCTGGCTCAGGAATTCTGGGAGTTGAAGTCCATGAGTCATAAAAGAGCTGAGGTTGCCTACCCCTGGACTACACAATCCCATAGAATTTTTGGACTTTAGCAAAGAGAGCAGAACCAGGTGGCATCGGAGTCAAATTTTTGTGGTCTCCCAAACCCTCTTTGATCACAGCTGTTGAAGAGTAATGGCAATTTATCATTTAGTACCTACCATATATGCCGCCGTATTAGGCGACCCGGCGTATAAGACGACCCCCGTCTTTATAGCCAGGCCGCATTCCTAGAACGTCGTCTTATACGCCGGAAACTACCAGTATTTCCGGCGTATAAGACGACTCGGCGTATAAGACGACCCCCGTCTTTGGGGCCGATTTCAGTGCTCACGGAAATCGTCTTATACGCCGGCATTTACGGTATTATACAGATCCAGGTTACAATATAATTGCTTCTTCAATATCTTTGTTTTTAAATTGGAATTCAGTTGATCAATGTAATTCGTTTTTTATTAAAACATATACTGCATTTTCTAATTCTGCAATAGCCAGCTATCCATCTACAATACTTTGTGAGAAATAGAGAACTGTACCATTTCCTACCAACAATTTTTATATTAACAAGAACTTCACAAACGCTTAATGATTTGTAGACCAGCAACACTTTTATTCTTTACTTGATACAAGGCAATTAACAGATGCCTATTAATATTTCACAAATAGTTATTAGCAATACAAATATATATTTGTTTTTCCATGAAAATGTCTGTTGAAAGATTTTTAACTTAAAAGATTGTTTTTGCGTATATGTGAAACTGCTCTACTGTTTTGCAAAGTTTATAAGATAATCCAGTGCAAAAATAGATCCCATTACAGCCAGCATAAAGTGCTTGGAATGAAGGACCAATATATTAGGGGGAGGGCGGTTGGAACAGAACTGGGAGGAAAAGCACAGGAATAGGGACTTACTATACGTATTAACTTCTATAAGAAATATATTCATATGAAACTATCTTTACAGTATCACAAGTACTGCAGAAGGATAACAGCAATTTTAATCACGTAACATGAAGTAAATATTCTTGCTCAGTTCCTTGACCAGTGGTTTTACATCATACGGAGAGCATGAGGATAATTTTGGCTAACTCATTTGATACAAAAGAAAATTTGTACACAGTAATTTACTAGTATTTTGTGTGGAACAAGCCCAGCCTGGATCGCCATTCTTAGCAAGAAGCACTTCTAGAAACTGTTATTTCCAATGAAACAGATAAGTAAGGATTTAAATGCTCCCCACTGAAAGCAATGGGAATATAATGCAGTTATTCTTTTATCGAAGTCCCATTGTGATCAGTACATCTGTCAGGTCATCATGTATAGGATTTCAGCCTTACATTGCAAATTTACACAGTGGTCATTTAACTCTCAATTATTTTGAGTTACTGTTGTATCAAGGGATTGGACAATTAATGTTTACCTCTGTTATAATTGTGTTAAATTTGCAAACATGTTTTAAAATTATACTAAAATAGAGCATTTATATTTATAGAAAAAATATCTACTTAGAAAGAGAAACTAAACTGCAGGTCATTGAAAGTTGGGTGCAAAAAAGATTGTTCAGGATTCAGACTGATGTCCTGCTGACTTCAAAAGGACTTAGTGCAACTAACCATTTCAGAATTTTACCTGGCTTGGGACATGGCTGTAATATTGGTATATGCCAGCTGTGATGAGCACAAGTGTTGTACTACAAAAAGATATTTGTAGCCATTTTGTTTCTCCTAGCTTTTTATGTCTGGGCTGAATGAAAAAAAGTTCCCATGTAAATTTCCAAATAAACAGTTGCTGAAAAATGGGGCATTTTTTTTTAAGAAAATCTATTCATTAGTTGCTTGTCATCCACATATTCAACTTTTAATGCCTACCTTCCATCCATATCTGGAGTAGGAGATCAGCGTAGGTGCCACATAATAGCCACGAAGTAAGAGAAATGGAAGGACTATGGAAACGCAGGAGATTCAAGACTTCAAGACCCCCAGCTGTTTTGACTGGAGGCCTTTCTCCAACCTCAACCCTGAAACAGCATCTCTGCTATGCAAAGCAGGAGATCACCATTGTATGATTTAAAAATATATGTAAACAGGACAGAAGTGATGGTATAACTGAAAATTTTCCATATTGATGGAAATAATGCTGTATGCATTTAGATATTTTGTGGTAGGCAGGAAAACAAGATACCCTAGTATAGATGATAATAGAGAGTTCTTCAGAGTTTGCTGAGTCTCTCCTACAGATAGTACTTTTGCAAGAAAATAGACGTATCAACAATCAAGCTTAAGTAAAGAAACTCAAAATCAGCAACGGTCCCACAACAAAAGCAAAAGGGAAAAATGAGCAATTGGACACCATACTATTAGGACAGAAGTTGTCTTCGATGGTTAATTGTTGATTCTCCTACAAGCGATTAAGAAACATTGAATTCAAACCAGCCTATTTTGAGGGTGTGCTTCATGGCCCACTACTAAGGCCCCTAATGGTTGTTATACCAATCCCCTCAAACAAGTATGGGTCAACCAGACCAATAGCTAATACTTAAATAAGGACACAATATCGCACTGCTGGACACTGGTTCTGTTGATGCATTCATTGCCAGCAATGATGTAGTGCCCAAGCAGTTCCTTTCCCTGGGCAGAGATGCTGTGCCTACCTTAGCGTTGTGAATAAATAAATCACTGGCCATAAATCTCTGAACTGTTGTTACGTAATTTTGAGCATAAAACATACTAAGTAGAAACAAGTGGGAGTATGGCAAAAGACAACGTAGCAGCAAGTGGCACCATATTAGAGTTTCACAGAATCATAATGTAAGAGTAACTAAATTCAAGTCTTTCACTAGAGAACAGTACAACAAGGCAAGATCTCCCAGAGGCGCTGCCTCTGTAATGGAATATTGTTTCGTTTGCATTGAATTGCATTGCATTGAATGATTACCAGTACATTGTCCCATTTACTATTTCCATCTCCACCTCCTCGGTCTCGATCTGTTTCCACTTGGGAAGATCCCATCCATAACGCAGAAAGGATGAACGTGTCTCCTTCTGCTCAGTGTGACCATTGCATCCTTCTGAGAAAGGTTATTCATACACAGCTTTCCTTCACCTTCTCATCTTGCAAAAAGGAACTCAAAACAGCTACATCTACCACAGTCTGGTTTTTGTGCAACGACAAGTCTTTTGTGTGGTCGTCATAAGTTTGGTCCTTGGCAAAGTTTACAAATACCTGAGGGAACAAAGATGTGGGCGTCAATAATGAGATCCTCAAAGGGAGAGGTCTAATCCTCTTTTTCTCCTATTGTGACTGGAGTGAATATCAATCAACAGAGAAATAACTAAGGTAGTAATTGAAGTATGAAAGTTAATAAGCTATTACAGCTCAGGAGGACGATCAATGAACGTGATCTTATTTTGAGAGGCGTTTTTCCCTCCCCCCAAATTTCATGCTATCAACTTACTTGGTCAAGTGTGGTCTGGGAAACAGAGTAGTCTTCTATGTGGAGTTTCTTTTTGTTCTGGGAAAGGATGCTAAATATCCTAGCCAGAGAGGATGGAGAGGACGGGAGCTGATATTGCAGCATGTTGCGATGCTTCTCCTTCAGCACGCTTCCTGGAAAAGCGAGCTTGAAGAAGTTCTCAACAGGGGTTAGGTCAGGGTTCCCCCCTGCTATTCGTACAATTATTGTGTAGCCTTCTCCAAACCTGAAACATAAGGAAAGCAAAGATACTCAGTATGATTATCCTAAGTTTAAAAAGGATATCATGGCTGTAAGGCGTTCTGGCTTTCTGACAGGTCATTTATGATCCTGGAAAAAACGTGCCATTGATTTCAAAAGGGCCACACAATCATAGTCCTGGTGGTTAATGAGAAAAGCCTCAAAATGCTCCTTGATCCATGATAAATTAGGGCAACCATTTTTCT